TCTTTCTTTCTTTCTTTCTTTCTTTCTTTCTTTCTTTCTTTCTTTCTTTCTTTCTTTGACAGAAGCTAGTCTGGAACTTGCCATGTAGCCAAGATTGGGCTGGAACTCACAATAATCCCCCTGCTTCAGCCTCCCAGAGTGTTGGGTTACACTCCCGCTCAGTGGCCCTCACTTAGGGGTATGTGTAGATAGGCCGTGTGGTGATCTGCATTGTGATGTTCTGTTTGGGGGAAATTCCAGGGATTTTTAGTGTGTCTTAATTTCTTTACTACCCAGTATTCCCTTGTGTAAACCAGCGTGAGGGGAGTCTGAACTTGCTCACCCCAGGTGGGAGTAACTGAGCCAGGACTTCACAAGATAAGTAACAGGTGTGAGGTGCTGCCAGCAGGCCCTTCTCTTTGACAGCTGAATTGAGCCATAAAAGTTGGGAATGGTTTATGCAGGTCTGCAGGAGTCCAGGTATAGACTGTTAATCCCTGGCTTAGAATGTGCTGATTTCACATGGGAATGCTTGAAATGAATTTTTATTGTGTCTCTTATCTTTGGCCTAGGTGAAAATGTTCAGATTGCCCCATAAGTCAAAATTAATTTAGCTTACCATTATCCACGGATTTCACCTCTTTTGTTTGCTGTTGAGTAGAATCAGAGTTCATTATGATCATATGTTTCAATTTATGCTTTAAAGTATTACAAGATGGCCAGTCCCAGGGACGAGAACCCTTTCGGCCATCTTTAATTTCAGCGTAACTGCGAAGTCTGCACAGTCTTCTTCCAAACTGAATTTTGCTTCAGAAAAGCAAAGCAAAGCAACATGTGGTTTGTGTGTCTGCTAGTCTCCTTAGCCTGGCTTGCATTAGGAAACTGTGGAAGCTGAATCCAAAAGCTCTCTAAAGCAAGGTCCCGCAGGGAAGGACACAGCGAGGAGAGACAGCTGAACCCCTCTAGAAAAGCACATTCCAGTATAAAGTGTGGGTCCTTGGTAGTTGGGAGTAGAGAACAGAAAAATAAATCATTTTTAAAAGTCATACCTAAGGCATACCCAGTTAAGCAGATCTCAGCTTTCCCCTTTGAGAACCATCCTAAAAAATAAAATCATCCTTTTTTTTTTTTTCTTGGTTTTCCGAGACAGGATTTCTCTGTAGCTTTGGATCCTGTCCTGACGCTCACTCGCTCTGTAGACCAGGATGGCCTTGAACTCAGCCTCCTGAGTGCTGGAATTAAAGGCATGCACCACCACCCAGCTTAAAACCATTTTAAAAGACAAAAAAAGAAAAGACAGTGGCGCTGCATGGTACTCTGCACTCAGCAGTCCTTTCTTGCTGGTGTGTTCAAAAGACAGTGCAATAGAAATTCACTATCTGGCATCGTTGGTTTCTTGGCTTTGTGCAAGATAAACCTGGTCTTTCTAATGATACAGTTAAAAAAAAAAACAGAAAACAAAAACCCTAACTATCGATGATTCCCAGGCCTTCCTCTGCATTAACTGCTGGCTCCTTGGCTGCTCTAGGAAAATAAAAAACAGGGGCTGCTCTGGTTACTCAGGGGTTAGAGCGCTGGCTGCTCTTCCAGAGGAGCCAGGTTTGATTCTCAGCACCCACATGGTGGCTCCCAATGGACTGGAACTGCAGGATGATGGATTCTGCACCCTTCTTTGACCTCTGTGAGCGCTGGCTGCGTATGGTGCAGTGCATAGACATGCATGCAGGAAGATGCGCAGGCACGCACAATAGTAATAATAGCTAAATACAGAATGAAGTCTGCCACCAAGACCCTCCAGTGAGCGTTGTAGCTGCCACACCTGCAGAAGGCTACTAGAGACAACTTGGCCCAGACCCAGCCTTCTTTCTCCTCATTGCTCCTGGCCATGCCAGTGGCAGCAGCAGATACTTCCCCACAATGTCGAAAGGGCTCACGGTCCATGTAACGCACGTCTGGTTATTTAGGATGCCTTTGCGCCTTGTATTCCCATCATAAGGTTATTATTATATATCTCCAGTGTCCCAGGTGTTAATCCATGTGGTCATCCTGCTTCCTTTCCTCAGGAACTCTTACTAAGCACCAGAAACAGAATGACATATACTATATTCTCATTTACCCGACTGTATTAAAAATAACTAGCCAGGTGGCGGTAGTGCAAACTTTTAATCGCAGTACTCAGGAGGTAGAGGAAGACAGATCTCTGAGCTCAAGGCCAGCCTGGTCTACAGAGCGAGTTCAGGACAGCCAGGGCTACACAGAGAAACCCTGTCTCAAAAAGACCAAAACAAACAAATAAACAAAAACTGCCATACTGCACTTGGTGAAAGCAGTCCCTGATAATCAGATGCGTGTCATTTTAAAGAATCCTGGAATAGCACAAAGATGCTTCTTAGTGCTGCTTATGTAACTATTTGGCCTCTTTAAAGAAAAAAAAATACATATATTCACTTCTTTTGTGCATGAATGTATGCATGTGTATGCATGCTCATGTGCACACAGATGCACATGGGAGTGAGTACATATGCATATATGTGTATACATGTGGAGGTCAGAGGTCAAACGTGGGTATGCTTCAGTTGCTGACTGCCTTGCTTTATTGGGATAAGGGCTCTCACTGACCCGCTGCCAAACCACCGGCTGGACTGGCTAGGCAGTGAGTCTCAGTCCTCATCTTGCGCTATCCCAATGCATGGGTGCCCCCATTCTGATTTTTAAGTGTGGGCTCCGGGGACCTAACTCAGGTCCTCATGTTTTCAAGGCAGCACCCTACTGGTTGAGCGTCTTCCTAACCCTGGCTTTTTTATCTTTTATTTTTTATTTTTGAGCCTTTGAAGGGGCTACCATATTATCAGATCCTTCCAGAAAAACATGCATCAGTTGGGAGGTGAATCTCTGTGAGTTCGAGGCCAGCCTGGTCTACAAGAGCTAGTTCCAGGACAGGCTCCAAAGCTGCAGAGAAACCCTGTTTCAACAAAAAAAAAAAAAAAAAAAAGCAAACAACCAAAAAAAAGTATCCCTTCCATCCTAAAATGCAGTACGGCACAAGGCATAAAACCACCCCAGACTCCGCCGCCACTCTTCACTCAGCTGCTCCTTACTCTCATACACACACCCCAAAAGTAGAAGGTTGGGGAGATAGCTCAGCGGTGGAGCACTTGGCTAGTACCCATGAAGCCTACATCAGATCCCATCGTAACACCCCGTACTCTCACACAAGGCAAAGCATTTCAGAGGTTCCCGGGATCCTTTTAGATCGTACTGTAAGGAGACCAAAGACCTCAAAAATGATTGGTCATAGCTGTGTGGCTTAGTCTGTTCTGTCAGCAACACTATAACAGTCTTCAGCTCCCGCCAGAGTTTCTACGGAAGGATGTGGATTCTCCAGGGGCCTACGTTTCCATCCTTACAGGCTCCTGTTATTTAAGCCCATCTACTGTCAATTTATGCTCAGCAGCCTGTCGGCAGAACTGCCCAAAGGCCCTTCCAGACAGCTTATTGATTCTATTGCACTTTCTTCCCTCTTTTGTAATTGTCTCAACTGAAGAATGTTAGTTGATTTTTTTTTAAAAAAAAAAAAAAGGTATTATAGTCCTGTGACTTGAACTGTAATCAATTTTATCTGACAAGTTTTTATGGCTGCATTATTTCAGTGTCTTTGGCTTTCAGGAGGTCATGTGAGGTGGCAGAATGGGTTATACATACAGAGTCTCAGTGGAACAGATCTTGAGGTCTGTCCCTTGTCCCACATCATCTGACTTTTTGAGTTGAGGAGGTGATGGGTGAGCCACTGACTACATGCAAGAGTGATATCTCAGTGAGAACATAGGACACACTGATACTGGCTGTCACGAAGCGGCCACAGAACATCTGTCATGCGGAGATCTCAGTAAGCCGGTTGTGTTGTGTTGGGACAATCCGATGTGTGTCTGCAGAGATCAGAATGGCCAGTCAGCTTCAAAAATGCAAGGAATCTCCCCCATCAGAGAGGCGTTCCTGGTGTTATTTGCCTTAGAGCTACACAAATGTTTGGTTCCGCAGGTCAGCAAAGTCATATATTATCAGTGAGCTGCCCTAAAGGAGGCTGACAGCCGCTGCTTCCTTATTAGCAGAAATAACCCGGCATGTGGATTTCTAGAATGTTCTTCTATGTTCTAGTGCTGCTGCTAAGGGAGTTAGGGAAGGTAAAACATTTTACCTGGCCATTTTTCAGTTCCCTGAAAAGCAAACGCTATGCCAGGTCCTGAAGGCTCACCACAAGGGTGTGGGTGACATCTGAAGTTTCCTATCAGCCCACCCTCCACCTGTAGCACCCACCCAACAGCGTCTCCGTGTTAAGCATCGTGAAGAATGCGCACACAGCCATCTTTTTCTACCAACACCTTCCACCCTTAGCCGAGTTAGTAGCCATGTTTGCCTCTGCCTAGGCTCTCCTTAGTGTCACTGTTGGAAGCCCTGTGAGAGAGACGGTTACTGATCTCCTATGGCTTTGCGTTTCCCTGTTGTGTCTGGAAGAATCTTTCAGCGTAGCCCAAACCCAGCTGCTAGTGGTCTACGGGTTATCTTAAAGCCTGGCATCTGAAGCAGCATCCAAGGGTTGTTCCTGGAGGATCCTTCTATGCTCCGCCTCAGAATATAGTGACTCTTGCAACCTTCTAGGAAAAGAGTCCCCTGCTGCCTCGCTTCTGCACCTCACTAGCCATGCTATCCAGTCCCCTTCACCACTGCCTCTTCATTAAGCACTGTGGGGTCTCAGAAAGCATCCAGGTGGGGTCGCAGATAAGATAGAAATGGGTAGAATGCCCGGCTGACCTTTTTCTTCTTGGCAAGAGGCTTTCAGCTGCTTGACCTAATTCTTTGCCAAGGCCCCTCTGAAGATAACGTGCTTCATTACAGCACCCGGTCACGATGCTCAAAGCTAGCCTACCGGGGTTTTCGCCTCTCTTGGCTGGTGGAGAGTTGAACTAGCAAACAGGAACAGATGATGCACAGAACTGCCCTGAGCAAGTAGCGCGTGGCCCAGGGCTGCAAACGTCCTGTAAACTCACGTTTGTCAGGAAACGCTGTGACTTGGGCATTTCGTTGAAATGTGCCTGGCTGGATTGCAGACCATGCCAGCCACCACCACCTCACACCCTCTCATTCCCAGAGCCATCTGAGCCTCTGCTGTGGGACTCAATCTTCATGGACTCTGCTGATTACTTAAAGAGGATGGGCCACTCTCTTTCATAGCGGTGGGCTTGAACTCTTTACCCTGTGGTATGTAAACATTGTAATTCATCCTACCTTATGTATATGAGTATTTTACCTGCATGTATGCGCACCACACACTTTTGGTGCCCTTGGAGGTCAGAAGAGATGTGGAGAGCCCCTGGGTCTACAGATGGTTGATAGCTGCATGTGGGTGCAAGGAATAGAACCTGGATCCTCCGCAAGAACAGCCAGGGCTCTTTCCATTGCGCCGTCTCTTCAGTGCCCTAAGTATTATATTTTTTAAAGACTTATTTATTTGTCATGTATTCAACATTCCATGTATGCCTGCACACCAGAAGAAGGCACCGGATCTCATTTTGGATGGTTGCGAGCCACCATGTGGTTGCTGGGAATTGAACTCAGGACCTCTGGAAGAGCAGTCAGTGCTCTTACCCTCTGAGCCATCTCTCCAGCCCCCTAAGTATTATATTTTAAAGGTTATTTGTTTTGTTTTGTTTTTCGAGACAGGGTTTCTCTGTGTAACAACTCTGACTGTCCTGGAACTCACTTTAGAGACCAGGCTGGCCTAAATCTCGCAGAGATCTGCCTGCCTCTGCCTCCTGAGTGCTGGGATTAAAGGTGTGCATCACCACGGCCTATCTGGCTTCCAGTTCTTACGAGGCTGTAGCCTGGCTAGAGGTGATAATTAAATGAAGAGAAACTTAGAGTTTAGATGTGTAAATCCTTCTGGTGGCCTTGAGTTCCATCTCTCCTGTAGCAGTTTGAAGCTAGAGGCTCATGTCAGGGCTTAACTCCAGTTCCCTCAAAAGCCATGGGAGTGTGCTGGCTCACCTTGGAATGCCAGGCACGTCGGGCACCTTTTACCCTTGCACCCCAACCCTGTGCACTGGGGAGCTATAGTCCAGCCCTTGACCCCTGGAACACCTTCCTCAGGCGAGGCCCTGCCACCCCTGGTCTTGATTGTTGTGGTAGTTTTCTGGCTCCTGTTCTCGTCACCCCGTCTAACAAGAAGACACGCGTGCCAGCCACTCTTCTGCAGAAGCATCTGTGGTTCCCCCCTGCCCTGGAAGGGCTACACAGACACCCACACCTGGACCTGCCTTTGGACACCCTTTCTAGTACCTCCACCTCCCCGGGCTGTCTTTTGTCCCTCGACCTTTGATGGCTCACCTCAGTCCAAAGCTATTTATTCCTGCCTCAGTGCCCCTCAGGCGAGCATCCTGACACTC